TACTTTTGGGGCCCTAACTAAGGCACTGCCGAAGCAGCAGCTCAGGTAGTGCTCCAATGGCTGAGATATTCCCCTCGAAACAGACCCCCGCGAACGTACTCGCATGGATTCATGGCAGTTTCGCGCCAGGATCCACTCTTTGCGCCATGAATCCATGCGAAACACGGTCGCGGGGTCCGGTTTCGAGCAGAATATCTCAGGCGTTAGAGCACTACTTGAGCTGCCGGTTGGGTAGTGGCTTAGTTAGGGCCCCAAAATACTTTCCATGTAAAATCCCCATAGGTCCAGACTTGCCTGGACGCTGCCTTTAAGCTCCAAACCCCAATTTTGTCTCTAAACCCCACCCAAATAAGCCGAATAGGACCCCCCCCCCCGGGTAGGAGTTTAGCGCGACCCTCACCCCGTACTCTACCCCCTCCCTCTCACCCCTAGCGTTTGTGGATAGAAGATAGAAGAAAGAACGAAGAGATAAGACATTTATTTCAAATTTATCAAACTTTCGAAAAATCTATCTATCTATCTCCAGCATACGTACAACAGTTAATTCATATTACAAAAACCATACTAGGAGTGATAAGAATATTCAAAGAAAAACTAATTTCCTAGTTGCAAAAAGAACCTTGTAACACCACAGTATAAGCATATGGTTTTAACATGGTAAGAAAATGACAAAAAGATCAAAAAAGCATTCTGTGCAACATGAAACAAAACAGCGAGGAACGCCATAAACTCACATTTGCAAAGCAGGGACATATTGTCCAAGTGCGATATATACATGAGCTATATTCATCCAAACATCTTCGAATTCCGAGGTCCAAGGCCATACTGGGGCAAAACGAAAGTAGGATGATTCAACGTAGTTGCTTGATAATAGTACTAGGACACGATGATGACATGGATTGAAATTCTTGCATATGCAACTTACCTTGAACGCCTTTTCATAGTCTCTGTTGAAATGGAAAAACCGCGCAAGAATGTAACAAGCTTCGGCCTTGATTTCGTCACTTTCCGTCATACTCATTGCATGCCACGCTAACCGTTCAACCTTGTTCATTTCCTGAAAAAGTGATGCCTTCAGATAAAGCGATAAACACCTCGATGTAACAGCTTGGACAAATTTAAAAGGTCCCTTTTATAGATAATTCGTAATTAATTCAAAGAATTTCTGCACTGACTCCTTTGAAGAAGAAGTGGTTGGCAAGATGGACCAAGACAACCGGATTCTCCGGCTCCAGACTATACGCTTGGCCTAGACAAGCCACTGCACTTTGGGCTCCCTCGACAGTATGCGTATTGTAATCCAAAATGGCAAGTGCTGAGAGAGCACAAACATTGTCATTTTGCAATTCCAACGCTCGTTCAAAAGCGATTCTGCAAATTGTAATTGAAAGTCACATAAACAGTAAAGAAGAAGCTATGTGACTCAAACATTTCACATTTACATGCTTACCTAGCCTTATCAGTCCCTAATCTCGCTAAGCAATACTGGAAGCAATGTGATGTGACTAAGCAACAGTAACAGTCACAATGCTTCAGTAACAGTCACAAAACTTCAACATCGTCTGGAGTTGCCTCCAAGACTTTTGTCAACATATCTCTTGCCTTGTCCTATCTTTCAAGCCAGAAACGATATAGTGAGGATCTGCAACGTCTGATGAAAAGTCGATCGACTTGGTAAGCATACGTACGAGAGAGATAGTGTGGACCCCGGCCAGCTTCAGGTACTAGCGCGGCGCACACGCAACGCGCGCCCGACTTGAACGCTTCTCATTTCACTTACGAACAAAAAAGCATTATAACCGAAAACAGGAGTGAAATGAGATGTGGAGGCCTCTAATCCGAACACGAGAAAAGCCAAGGCAATAGGAGAACCTTCACAACTTCTACTACTAGCGCTCAGATTCCAGTCAATCTCATAAATAACTGGAATCTTCAATTATCCATCGCTAGTAGTGTATGACACTACCAGCGATGGATGATAGAAGTAACAGGAAAAGTCGAAGAACAATTCTGAAAAGTCTTCCTTCTGTTCATAAAAAAACCCAGAAAGTTTGAGCTCAAGAGCACGATTGCAAAGTTCTGATGGTGTAACAAAAGGCTAGAAGCATCTACACTCCACAAAATCAACTGCATATACACTTATTCTGAACATTTGGAGAGATGTCTCTGAACTACACCGAAATCTTCACTATTGAGAAAAAAACAAGATTTTCGAAACAAATGCTTGCAAGACTGTCAAGACTCGTAAAAATCCATCACCAGCAGTTGACGTGTGTCGTTTACATCTAAAGTAGAGATTACAGAAGAGAACAAACACACTTGAAAGAGGAAATTGAAAGAAATCCCTTCAGAGCCGAAACGAAAAGCGCACTGAAGGCATGCGCTGCGGGCGCGCCGCGGAGGTACCTATGGGAACCTGGCCGGGGTCCACACTATAGCAATAAACGGATTATTTAGACGATACTTTCATCACAACAACACTAGATAGTTGCGCAACTAACCTCATTGTTTCGAAAATCCAGAATTAATCACAAAAACCACTCCATCAATAGTCTACGATGTCCCAGCAAGTCGGAAAGAGCCAAACACTGAAGGTGATTGAGTGCAACCGCACGAAAATTTCAAACATAAATCTGAAAACGAGGAACTTACAGCAACATAAACGCCAACGCGACGAAGAGCAACGCGGAAAAGAAAAAAAACGGTAAAGAAACGCGGAAAAACAACAAAATCAAAGAAACGGCGACTAAAATATGGACAAAGAGCGTAAACAGAGGACTCATCACCGTGGAGTTTGGTCGTTTGCTTGCTACGCGCCAAATCGATACGCAGCCTGCTCCGGATACCTCCCATTTTCTGCTCCGGATACCTCCCATTTCTCCGGCGGATACCTCCCATCTTCTGCTCCGGATACCCCCCATTTTCTGCTCCGGATACCCCCCATTTTCTGCTCCGGATACCCCCCCATTTCTGCTCCGGACCCCTCCGATTTTCTCCGGCGCGTGTCTTCCAAATTTGGCGGACACGCGCCGCGCAGACCTCTGCGGCGCGGAGTCCGTCAAATCTGGCAGAGTCGCGCCGGAGAAATGGCGGACCTTTGCAGCAGGGCCGGAGAAGCCTCCCATTTGCCTGCCAGTGATGCCACCGCGATGGACCGCCCATTTGCCCTTCTCTCATTGGTCAACTGGGTCCGGCGCGACCCTGGCAGTTTCCGAGGGTCCGGCGGAGGGGTCCGATCGATTGTCTGAGATGGGGCGCAGAAATGAAACTTGCATTCACAAATTGACTGTTAGAGGTTTATTTGTGAGAGGCGTAGTTGTCCTCGGATACTGTTGACCCCTCCACCCGGACAAAACTTGGGACGCCACTGCCGTATATGTATGTATCTCGTGCCAAAAGGCCGAGCTAAGAAGGGAAGCGGTTTAGTGGAAGTGGCCTTTTCAGATGAGACCAACAACTTAGGAGAGTATCGCACAGTGCCTCCAGATTTGCCTTTGTTATCTGCCAGGCGCCTCGGGACCCGACTTATGGGCGTTCTTCGGGTCAAAAATTTTAACGCAAAATCGGAACAAAATCGCCGAAACTTGCACAAATGATGTGTCGAGTATCAGAGCAGTTCATCAACGGATACATTTCGTCTAATATGCTAGTACTCAACACTGCTTTTCTGAACACTGAAAAGATTGTAACAATTGATTCTACCTAAATTCAATTCTGCATTCATTTTTCGTTCCAAAAAACGGTCATATCTCGGTGTCAGAGGCGCTTGGCAGTTAATGAAGGCAGATATGGAGTCACCTTCCAATTAGAGTTAGATAGCTTTCCTTACAAGAATAAGAAAGTGATCAGGAATTTTGGAAGAAAGGTAATGCTCGCTTTCTCACTTCTATCCATCCTACCTACTATTATACTTTTCACGAGTTCGAGAAAGAAAGGATCAGTGAGCAAATAGCCTATACAGAGTCGAACTTTCAGCTCTTGAAAATTTGTAGGTTTTCAGATTGTGGATTTTATGCATGGTGTTTCAAGCACCAAGATTTTTCCAGTGAAAAGTCCGACCTCACATTCCGTAGTTGAAATTTTAGATAAGCGCGAAGATGAGGTTTTTGCCAAAGGTACCACGTCAGCTCGCGTCTTTTGCTCTTTCTAACATGTGAACTTCAGCAAATGCAAGGCACTTTCTCAAACTGAACGTGCCAAAACGATACAGAGACAGCGAGCTGACGCGGTACCCAATGGGAAAAATTCGGGGGACAGACCATACTTCCAGTCAGTCGACAAAGAGACGTTTGCATTGCTGCACTACCCTTAAACCGCTGGATCAGTAACTTCATAGCTCGACTGTTGCTGGCGCAGCCTCAGAAACACTGAAAACCAAAAAAATCTAGCTCTGCAACATGATATTTCGGAATTGCAACAGAATTTTCTTTCAATTTGAAAACTTCCCACACATGTGAGGACTTGTTAGGAAAACAGGGCGAGCCGGAATCATCATAATTTAGAGACAAACATAAGGTAACTACTCAAGAAGAGTTTTGCGTAGGTCGAATCAACATCATGCACGCCACGTTTTCAACAACCATTACTTGGAATTCGTGATCGCATTTTTAACGACGTGTGAAACAACGTTTCCGGTTCCCTAGTCCACAATGGTTTGCCAGGTGCTGTCTAAAGTTAATTTCGGTCAAAAGCTCTCCATCTTCAACAAGTAGGGAGAAAGATTATCAAAAAACAGGAGGGTCTTTTCTTTTCTTGACTTGACCATTAATCCATCACATATGATCCAAGAAGCAAATTTGAGCCGAACTCGCAACCTTATAGTCCCTATAGATTCTCCGCTCCAATCAATTATTCGCTCCCGGACCCGCCACCTATGACACGGCGGCAATTTCGCGCGCAGCGGTTGCGAACGCAGCAATCGTCGTAGTTGGTAAATTTCTAAAAATGACCTATTTGGGGTCTTCGCAGTTGTTGATGTTGGCTGCAGATGGCTGTCATTTGCTTGCTCGCACTATGATCGGATGTTTGTTGTAGAGTAGGGGAACTTTCGTGTTTGTCGCCTTGTAGTCGCGTCAGTTGTTCTTTCCATTGGTCAGCACTTTCATTCAGGGTGTTTTACCGGTGAAAATGTCTAATCAGACGCCCTACATTGGGAGTAAGATTAGCCTGATATCGAAGCTCGACATACGTTATGAGGGTATTCTCTACACTGTCGATACAAACGATTCTACAATTGCATTAGCAAAAGGTTTCTGTTTTCTTTCGATTTTTTGTGGGCTATAAACCTTTGGTTTTCCAGTACGCTCTTTCGGCACAGAAGACCGCCCGACTCCAAACCCAGTTGAAGCGCGAGATGACGTTTACGAGTATATAATCTTTAAAGCGAACGATATCAAAGATCTCATCGTTTGCGAGACTCCTAAGGTTTGTCCTCGTTGCCATCTGCTTCGTGATGATAGCGCTGCATTCAGGTTGCCACTTTGGCCGGAGGCCTGCCCTATGATCCTGCCATAATTTCTGTTTCTGCCCGTACAGGATCTGCAGCTGCGAACGAGCAGCAGGCATCCGCAGGCTCGTCCCGCTCCGATACGCCGCATCATCGTACAAGTCCTAATTTAGCTCAGGGAAGCCGAGCCCCAGGAGCAGGTCGCAGCACTAATGCGCGAGGAAATAGAGGAAATTTCAACCAAGCTGGAGGTACGCTGTATAGTGCATGAGAATTGGTCTCAGTTCTAGTGTCTTCGTTGCATCTTAAATTGAAATAGTCGCAACTCCGCAGATTTTAAATGATGGTACGATCATAAGTCCAATGTCCGACATAAGTGTTTGCTGCAGATCGCCACCATCTTAGTGTCTTAACCAGATTTTTCGAACTGCAGTTCTTTTACAGCTGGATCGCAATGCACCTATCTGTAAACGCTAAATCTTGAATTTTTTTGGTCTTTTTCGGTGTTAGGGGGTCGATTGAACAAAGAGTTGCACCAAATTTTCAGTGCTGACGACCATGACGACCTTTACAAGCATCTATGCTTGCGCACCGCTTTGAGGGCCCAAACTAGTTGTGGAACGTTCTATTTTTGTTTTTGCGTGTTTGTATCAAGGTGAGGGATTTCCACTAACATAGGGCTCGCTGATGTGACAGTTTCTTCAGTCACGGATGTGAAATACTAGTATTTCCGTTTCGAAGAGAAGGCGATCACAGTTTCGCGTACCTTTTCATACTTGAGGTCATCAGTAAATTTCTTGCTTTTTTGATCAAAATGATCCTTTTTCGCTACATGTTATAGAAATCGGAGAGTGTCATAAACTCCTTAAGTCTCGAGCGGTGCAGCTGTAACACATGAAAGTCATGATACATCTGTAGCAAAGTGTATGCCCGCTAATTACCTGGCTTGTTACTCGGTTATGTTTGATGATTATGCAGAGTAATGGCAGCTTGTGTACATTTAACGTTGTATTGCGGAAATTTAGTATGCGTGATATTTTAGGATTGTAACTATCATTGTGAACTTAAATATAGTATCTTATTAAATGCTTGCCTCAAATTTTCATGTTTCGCTTGGAATCCGCTGTTGTAGCGGTACTGATCGAAAACATGCTGGACACTAAAGAGAGCCACTTTGAGGATGATTTCGTTCCAGGGCAACCAGTCGGTTCGGGTAATCGTCAGTACAATAATGGCTATCTTCGTGGAAATTACAACAGCTATGGCGGACAGCGTCCACGTAACAATCAAAGCGTCGGAGTCCCTCGTCCTCGCGAGAAACTGAAGTTTGACGGAGATTACGATTTTGAGAAGGCCAATGAGCAGTTCCAGGAACAGTTCTCCGATATGTTCAAAGACAAACTTAAGGTGCTTTTTTGATTGTATTGCTGTAGAAACATGCTTTTTTCTAGGTGGATGGGGAGAAGAGCGAAGAAGAGCAAGGAGAAAAACCTGCTGAAGATACTTATTACGACAAGAAAAGTTCTTTCTTTGACCGCATCAGTTGCGAAGCCTTAGAGAAAGCTGAGGGGAAGAGCGGACGTCCGGATTGGAAAAAGGAAAGGGAAACAAACCAAGAAACGTTTGGTCATTCTGCTGTACGCTCTTTGAATTATCGTCGTGGATTTGGACAACGGGCACGTGGAGGACGTGGCTATGGAAGTATGTCTGAATTTTGTTTTCCCTCATTTCGTTTTTTGAGCGTGGATTATCTCTAGGACCCGGTGATGGACGTTACATCAATAATTTTAATCGAGGTTATAACAACTATCGCGGTGGATATGGTAACGGCAATGCGAATCATCGCGGACGAGGTTTCAACAGAGCTGGATATCAACAGAATCAACAGCAGTGAAAAATTCACTTGATGAGGAAAGCGTCTTCTTTGCTTTTCATAATGTAGAAATCTTTTTCTTGTCTTTCACACATCTTGCAAGATGGAGCTTTTTGGCTACTTTCTGTATCAAGTAAGTTCCGACTGTGTGACTCTGTTAAAACCCCATGTGCTAATCTCGTTTTTGACGGGCTGTATTTTAATGATTTGTATGCGGTTTTGAAGATCTAGTATGCATTCTGGTTGAATTGCGATGCTGAATTGAGCATGAAGTTTCGGTGTAGAGTGTTGTTGTATTCTAAAGGGACCCTGCATAACAGCATATATATTATTTACCATAGTTTGTTAACTTTGCAACATTTTTGTTTGTTGGATATTTATACTTCAGATAAAGCGTATTAGCTACTGGATCGGCTTTTTGAAACTTTCAGCCATATAGAGTCCGGTATTTACACCTTTTTTTACTTTTGTTGTTCTACCGAAACGGACAGTGCAAGAACACTATCTTATAATAGTGGGAAGAAAGCATACATGTGTGCTTCTGTCCATGCGGTCATACTTCACTGGTAATGACGCTTATCACTTCACTATCACTTCAAGTTGCAAATTTGAGCAATTACTTTTTGACTCGTGGCGTCTAGCGAATTTGTAGACAGATGAGACCTCGATATCGGTAATTTCCGTTGTTCTTCCGGTACCTTAGTGTAAGTATCTATGATACATGGTAATTGCGCGCATGAGTGCGGTTTTTTGTGCAGGGTCGCCTTCGTTATTGTCCTTGGTCGTATCTTATCAGTATTGATTTTGCTTATCTCTAGGCGGAGCTGTTCTGCTGGAAGAGAAGTACCTTTGCGTATTGTTAGCTTACTCATTGTGAATTGGTTTGAGTGAGCATTCGGAAATGGCTGACTATTTTCGATCTCCATCACTGTTCTGGTGGCTCCTCATAACGTCATCACTATGCATAAATTTCGTGAGTATTTCCTTTACAGTTGTGAAGTTTTCGAGCATTCGTGTTATCTTGTCGAATCCGGCAGTGTTGAAGCAGCGATGGTACCCATCATATGTTCTCTTAAAAACGAATTTATGAGCTTTTCATTGGAAATCTAGTGGAAAACTGTCTATTTTTGTACAAGACTTTTTTTTATCAGAGAAAATGAAAGCATATGTATGATATCCTCCAAGTCTCTACGTTGAATGCCAAATACGTTACAGTTAGCGTATTACTCACCGCGGACACTGGGATTTTTACCTATCATTGGACCGATTGCGGCTTACATAGGGATCCACTATCACTGGATTACCGTTATAACCAATCTTTTCGCCTTAGTCGCGCATGTCGGTGAGGGGCTATATGCACTGTATCTGTCTACGACCCTGGGTCACAGGTAAGATCTTGTGCTTATAGTGACATATTATGATAACATCTTGCAGTTTATCTTGCTCTATGAGGTGGTTTCTGCAGACATTTATCTTGGGTTTTCCGTCACTCAGCATGCTCTCCAAAGCTGCTGGAAGACGCAAGAAATGATATTGACCAGTGCTGGGCAGAAGTAATGTTCTCTCAGATAGAGTGGGTATTATTTCAAGGCGGGGAGCTATTCCTGCTATGGCTCTACTAATTATAGCAGATGAATGTCTGGGTCGTAATTGGGGAGCAATAAATCAAATCGAGCTACGACTGTGAGCGATTGTGCAGAAGGTGCAAAATGCGGATTTTACACTTTGCTAATGGTTTTATTCATTTTCATGGATCATTATTCGTATAAATGTGCCTCACTGTACAGCCCACTGTTATGACCTCCTCCATTTGATCAGAATTAGATTCCCTAAGAATGTATAATATAAATGCGATAATTTTTTTTGATATTTCGTAGCCTTCAGATTTTCAAAGCTCCTTCAATCACCGTATTTTCTGATAAGTTTCACGTCACTAACATTTACAGTCTCTGCGTATCCTTAAGACTATCTATGCCTATTACCTCGCTAGTTCTGTGATACCTGAGCTAGTGTTTGTTATGGGTAACTACACATAAAAGCTCAGTCTTTGCTACAGTCATGATGCTGATAGTAGGTACCGAATAAATTTGTTTAATCAACTTGCTTCGCATCATATGTTTTAGGTGCTGCAATCGTGGACTACTTTTTTCAGCTCTTCTTCACGCTTTCTCCACTTTCATATAAATAGTAGGCAGTACTCAGTTTAGTTTTATACTAGAAGGATACTGTGACAGGGCAGGACGACTACTAGGTACACAGATAATAACCGCTGATGAGCTAACTGTCACGGGCATAGATTCCCCATCTTCTGGCCATATTCATCAACGACCCATGAGGATGGTGTAGGGTTTATCCCGTTGATCGCGACTAGCTCGTATCGATCAAGGAACCTTGAGTATGAATCCTACTCTTGAGGTTAAATTTTACCCCAGAAAGCGATTGATCCGTATTCACGAGCGTGCATCGGGATAAATTTAAGCCTAGCATAGAGCAAGGCTAGATTCACTCTGACACTTCGTAAAACATCAAGTGATCTCTCGATGAGTTATGTTACTACTCACGAGGGAGTCAGATAACTTATAAGGAAAGCTACCCATCTTAGCTCGGCCTTTCGGCAAGGGACATACCCTTTTGAATCAGCTTCAAACGCTGATTCTAATATGCAGTTCATAGCTGCGGCGCACCGCGAAGCGAGTTATGAGCTTTTGACTGCGTGGAATTGGCATGCTACTATAGAATATGGAAAGACTGTTTGTAGGTAAAATCTGCCCGAAAAAAGCGCAGAGATATCGAAATAACACCAAACCAAATCTTTTCTAACTGACAAGAGACTTGATGCAAGTATTAGTACTAAAATGATGTTCTCCTGATGCTAGTAAGTCTATGAGTATGCAATTTTGCTTGAAAAAGAGTCAATGACTCGCTCCAGTTTGATGCGTCTCAGCTAGGAATAGTACGTTCGGAATCAGCGTTTGAAGCTGATTTAGAATATATAAGTCCCTTGCCAAAAGGCCGAGCTAGGTTGCGTACCTTCTCTTGTTAGATTCGCGTTCTGAGATGTGACACATATAATTGGAATCAACTTTGAACGCTATTTCCAAATACGGTCTCCTTAGCTGCGGCGCATTTTAAAGCGAGTTATGAGCTTTTTTCCGCACGAAATTGGTATACTACTGAACATGGGAAAGCTGCCTGTAGATGGAAATCCGTTTGGAACGGTGGGATACCAAAATAATATAACATCAGATTGAGTCTTTTGTCATTGACAAACTGAACGCAGTAAATCAGCACTTAGATGATGATACCGTAATGCCAGTAGGTCAAAGATTATGCATATCTTGCACAGAAAAGATTTGATAACTTGCTTCAGAATGACGTGCCGCGGCTGGGAATAGCTTATTTGGAATCAGCGTTTGAAGGGTTGTTCCATACTGCCGCACTGACCGCAGCAGACTGCAGCAGACTGCAGTAGACTGCAGCAGACTGCAGCTGACCGCACTGACCGCAACGGCCGCACCGATCGCTGCATCCTTTCGTAAAGGTGGAATCAACAACAATATACGCCTGGATTCAAAACAGGTATATGTAATAATAGGAGGAATCAGAACAATCATGAGCATACCAAAGAAAAACAATTGCCAAAATGTGATTGGGAAGAGTAAATTAGGACCTACTAGCTGGCTTGCCCGCCTCCGCTTGGCCCTGTCAAAACACTATGATAAAGCTATCATCCGTATTCCTGTACAACCTTTTCTTGCCCACATCTACATGCCATTACCCTATTCCCGCTGATTTAGTAATCAGTATGCTCGATTACCATCCCCCCCTGTGCCAACTCCCAGCCCGTAGCTTAAACTTTGCAAAACAATCGATAAAATCAAAAAAAGTAGCTGATAATTCCAAAAACTAATATTGTATTCGTAATCAGCATGCTCGTTTACCCCTTATGCCAAATCCCAGGCCCGTAGATGAACTCTGCAAAAACGATAAAAATCGAAGAAATCGATATCGATCGATAACGGAGAGTAGCCTATGACACCCGCTCCGCCCCGAGGTGTATGTGTGCCAAGTTATATCCGGATGTTGAGAAATGGAATTTTCTATTTGGAATATACATACAGACATACAGACAGACATTCAACTTTATATATAAGATGAAATTTCTAGGCGTAAATCACGGTATTCTGACGTATTCACAATTGTTTTCTCTTTAACCTAAGGATGCAGCGATCTATGCGGCCATTGCGCTCAGTGCGGTCAGCTGCGGTCAGTGCGGCAGCATGAAACAATCGGAGGACGCGCAGGAGGAACCAAAGGCCTAGCCGGCAGTGTCCGCAGGAGATAATTAGAGGCGCGAGCACTGCGCCAGAGATTTGGCCAGGATCCAAGAAAACTTGGCAGGAATCCATAAATGTTCGTAAGAAAACTTACCTCGTAACTTCGCTGGGGAAAACGCTAGAGAAATAAGTGAACAGTTTTGTAATCTGCGTTTTCAGCCGCATCTATAGGAGAAATGAAAGCGGAATTCATTTTTCATTTACATTCAATCTTTGAATATGAATATTCCCAGGAAAACATTAGCTACATCGAAGTACTTACACTCAAGTTTCAAGATTTTTAAGAATTATTGGATGTCAAGAAACCGAAGTCGTCAAATCGTGAGCTGAAAATCGGTAGTAGGAAATTGAAGATTGAGAAATTGTTCACGAAATCTTGCTCGAATTCAAATCATGAACCATCTGATAACCATAATGGTAAATCTATAACTTGCAGAAAATTTTACGTCAATGTGATGCAAATTTCCAATTTCTGAAAAATTTCCAGTTTGGTTCAAACACAATTTTGTAATCATTTAATTTATCAATTCAAAGTTTCGTCTTGGCCTGCTGGCTTTAAGTTTACCTTCCCCTCTATTTTCCAACTTGATGAAAATACTTTACGGCGGGTTTTTCGAATGACAGTTATTTCATTAAGAGAAGCCATGAAAAGTGGATTTCAAAACTTTCACTCGTATTTCTCGTGCTTTTTCCCAAGCAGAGTTATGAAATACGTTTTCATATGGTCTCCTTCAAGTTTCTTTGCTAAGTTGTTTTGGATCCTCGCCAAATCCTCCCCACAGTGCTTGCGCTCTTAATTGTCTACTGCGGATACTGCGGCAGGGCCTTTGGTTCCTCCTGCTACGCCGCCAAACAACCTGGAGCTGATCCCAAACATAAGTGTCTTGTCTGAAAACGCGAATCTAAGTTACTTGACTTCTTTTATCAGTCTGACGATAGTGTTTTGACAATATACACATATTCATGGGTACTAGTCCTCTTTTCGTGTTTTCGTTTGATGCCATCATTCGGTATTATACTTCCGAGTTGGCATAGCAAAAGATTTAGTTTTGAGTAAAGTGCATTTCCAACTAAGGATTTTGATATGGCGAACATCAAGCTCAACAACTCGAAAAATTTCGTATAACTCCCTCATTTTTTTAGTTCACGGTCAATGAGTGTTGGTCATGAACGCTGAACTAAGAGTGCAAGCTTAGTGTCATGAAAACAAGGATGCTACGATGGACTCTGGAAGTCGCACTGAAGGTCCACATCCGCAGTGGCACTATACGAGCCAAAATGAAAGTAGCTCCATTGACCGGAGAAGGCAAGAGAAAAGAGTACGGTGGTACGGGAGTGCGCAAGGGAAGAAAGACACATAACAAGATCAGGCTTACGATGGAGGCACCAGGTAAAAGACCTAGGGGTAGACCCAAAATGAGATGCATGGACAGAATAAATTCTCTTCAGCGCACAGATCTATTGAATATAAATTTAGAGCAGTGGCGTACCCAGGATTTCTGCCCGGGGGGGGCGACAAAAATTTTTTTCGAATAAAGGTGCGTGGCTAACGCCACGCACTCCGAAAATTTTTTAGGGGTGCTTCTCCAAATTTTTGCGGGTCCCCAACCCCTAAAATCTGGAAAAAGTGGGCGTGGCGTCAGTTACGCCCCTGAAAAAATTTTGCTTACAAGGCTAATTTGAATTTCCAATATTAAAAATTATTTTAATTATTTACAAGTATAAACAAGTCATTTGCACATTTTTATAACCCTTGTAAGTAACTTTCAAAAATTTCGCTACCCATTCTCGGGGGGGTGGGCCTCGGTACGCCACTGATTTAGACCTATCATAAGCAGCATGGGAGGGCCTAATGACAAGAATATCATGGTTGCTGAGCGTAATCCTTTCGTGGCTGCTAAAACACGTGCCTGCTCATCTTCTTAACACCAGTACCTTCCTTGAGCGTTTACGCAGCGCGCGATTAGAGGATGAATGCAAAATGGAATCCTTTGACTTCACTCCACTCTACACCATCAAAGGTCCCCAACGTGATGCTATGCAGGCAGTATATGAGTTTCTATGTAAGTATCATAGCTCACTTAATCTGTAAGGTTCACTAGTCAAGTCATGACGTTGCTAGACGAGTATCTCGGGAGTTTTATATGCCGTTGGTCTGGGCAGTAGGGGTTTAGCCATGGAGCAAAGGTTTTAACTTACGGTCGCTATAGCCTTCATGTCCAAGGTAGAACGTCCTATTCTTCTGCGTAAGCCCTTTCTATACTGCCGCTATATGACTACTGCTGCATCGTATGTTTTACTCAAGAAGAAGTTGAGACATGTTTTGAAATTCTCAGTGCGCAGTCGCCCAATATGATACTCACTCGCGAAGAGTAACAACAACTGGTTAGTTTTTCTGAATGTTTAGATGTATCTGGCCAGTGCAGTGGCGGTCGCAGGATTTCCGTCCGGGGGGTGGGGGGGGGGGGGGGGCGGCAAAAATTTTCTTCCAAACGAACGTGTGTGGCGTTAGCCACATACTCCAAAGATTTTTGGGGTGCTTCTATTTTTGCGGGCCCGTAACCCCTAAAATCTAGAAAAAAGGAGCGTAGCGGCAGCCACGCCCTCGAAAAATTCTTTTACAAGGCTAACTTGACTTACAAATTCTTAAAAATTA